CTTGTTTTTAGTTCTATTTCATCCCTCCTGACCGCCAGAGGGCGGTGCTGACAGCACTAAATGTTCCCTTCACACATGCGCTGTTCGAGTAATAATACCAACGGAGTCACAGGTGTGACACGGATGACCAATCAGAGGCTATATAGCCCGACATCATCCGCAGCTCTGCTCCTTTTTTCTTCTTGCACGCGGTTCAATTCAGAGCTTCAGCCCTTTGGACCTTTTTTTGAACTTTTCACCATCGTCGGAAGCCCAACTGCCCGTCGGCGGGAGTAGCATGTTCGCCCTCCTAGGGGCTGCGACGGTTTAACCCTGTTTAAATGTATTCCTGCTGATTCGTTGGGTTCTACGGCGGTTTCCGCCCCTCCCAACTTACAGCGTCTGACTACTATGTGTGTGATTTAACACTGGTGAGTAGTGTTTTTTACTTATATTTTGCCATTGGTTAGCGTTAGCGTTCGCTCCGCTCCTGTTTACTGGAGGCCTCCAACCGCGTGGTTGGTTGGACTGTGTTCAGAAGTTTGCTTATTACGTAGCCAGCTGAGTTCCTGGCCTTGTTTTCATTGGTGAAGGCTAGCGTTTTCGCACCCTCTCCCAGTCATTTTCTCCAACCTCATAGACTGTTGGACTGAGCTAGCGGTGCTAGCCTCTCTGAGGTCTGGCCTTGTTTCAATTGGTGAATGCAAGTGTTCGCGCCCCCTCTCCCAATTGTCCTCTTTTACCAGCTGAGCTAGCGGTGCTTGCTTCTCTGAGTTCTGGCCTTGTTTCAATTGGTGAAGGCAAGCGTTCGCGCCCCCTCTCCCAATTTTTTGGCCTAATTTTTCGTCCTGTATCTTGGACATAGCTGGCGGTGCCAGCCCCTTTGCTGGTTGCAGTTTTTTTTACCTTGACTTGAAGTGAACTGCTTAAAGTAAGGAGCATGGATGGCTCTCATTGCTGTACAGTTTGTGGAGCCGTGCTCCAGACAGATGGTGGTCACGACCTGTGTCCTGCCTGCCTTGGACATGACCATCTGGTGGAGGCCCTGTCAGAGAACCCCTGCATGAATTGCAGCTTCATGTCTCGTGCTGTGAGTGTGGCTCGGCTGGCCCAGTTTCGCCCCGAGCTCGGTGATGACCTTCCGCCTTCTGGGCAAGAGGCTCCACCTAGGCGCTCGAAGTGCCGGACTGAGGCCACAGTCTCTGTGGCCCCTCCTGAGAAGAGGCAAGCCAGGTCTGATATGGGCCTCTCCATGAGGGTGGAGCAGCTGTCTGCTGAATTAGCGGAGATGAAAGTCCCTTTTTTCAGGTATGCCGACTGGGAACTGAACCAGTGGCAGTGACCGGACTCTCCTCCCCACCCATGCCTGAACTGGCTGCGGAGGAAGATGTGCTATCCTTGGCTGCCTTTGCCTCTCACTTTTTAGGTGAGGAGAAGGGGCATTCATCTCAAGTCTCAGAGACAGCTTCACTTTCTTTGTCTCGGAGTGCAGTTAGTGGGTCTGGTGACGGCTCAATGCAGGACATCATGCGTACAGCCCTGAGACAACTACAGCTGGACATCCCGCAACCAGAGGAGTCCACCCCTGGAAGTGCCTTCTTCAGGCGCAGACGGACCCCTCCTTCTTTTTCTGTCCCTCCATCGGAGGAGTTCCTGAGGGAGTTGCATGGTTGCTGGCAGAACCCCAAAGTCTTTGCGCACCTCTCCGCAGATGGCCGAGTGTTGGCGGCTATGCATGAGCTGGCTGTAGCAGGCTTGGATTGCATGCCGGCGATAGAACCTGATGTTGCCTCGCTCATCGTGTCACCAGAGAAAGCTCTGCGCAGTGATGTTCGGTGCCCACGAGCTCAGTGTCACGTCACAGATGAATTCCTCTGCAGAGCTTATGGCGCCGGAGCGCATGCTGGCTGCTTCGGTAATTCCTTGGCGCACCTCATGCTTGCCCTCTCCGCGTCCCTTCAGGGGACTAGTGGTGTGACAGCAACAATGGGCTTTAGCGATGCAGCGCTTCAGGCCTTTGCACTGATGATGAGGGAACTTGGGTGTGGGATGTCCTTCTTGGTCCAGGCTCACCGACTGGTCTGGTTGGCGCATTCAACATTGACTGAGCCATGTCGTAGAACCCTCCGTAATGTCCCAGTGGTGCCGGGGGAGTTGTTCGGTTCAGCTGCCTTGGAAGCGCTGGAACAGACCGTCCAGGCACGACAGAGAAGGCAGCAGCTTTCGAGCCTTAGCAGGGCAATGCCCCCTCCACCTCCTCGGCATCCAAGGCACCCGTCAGCTGACCCCAGCATTCAGCCGCTACCTGGGGGTCATAATCAACCGGGTGATCTTTACCCTCGTGTTGTTCAGCAAAGACCCAACAGGAGCTTTCGTGAGTCGGTCCACCAACCAGTTGGGCAGGTTTGGACCAGGGACCCTGGCCGCCACCCATGCCACCGGGCCGACCGTCAGATATTTCTCCCACCAGCAGCTCAGTTACTGGCACCCATGGGTCCACGCCATGGACCCATGGGTGGTTGCCACTCTGACCCATGGTTACCGGCTATAGTTCCGACGGTGGCCTCATATCTCACGCCGGGTCCAGATGACTGTAATCGCCGACCCGATGAAAGCTCAAGCACTAGACCAGGAGCTTTCTGCCCTCCTGGCCAAGGGCGCAGTCGAGGCAGTGGACCCTCTGCAACAACCCAGAGGCTATTACTCGACTTACTTCCTTGTGCAAAAGAGGACGGGCGGGTTTTGTCCCATTTTAGATCAGAGGGGACTCAACCAGTACCTAAGGGAGCTGCCCTTCCACATGCTCATGACAGCAGAAGTCCTTCAAGTTGTCACAAGGGGAGAATGGTTCACGTCTATAGACCTGAAAGATGCATTATTCATGTGCCTATTGCTGCAGAACATCGCCGCTTTCTCAGGTTTGCCTATCTGGGTCACCACTGGCAGTTCCGGGTACTCCCAGTCGGGCTCTCTTTCTCACTGAGGATGTTCACTCATTGCGTGAAGGCAGCCCTCTCTCCTCTGCAGGATCACGGATTGAAGGTTCTGCCATACTTAAACGATTGGCTTCGCTGCGCCCCGTCTCGGGCCTGTGCCTTTCATGACACAAACTGCCTGCTCGCTCATGTGTCCCAGTTGGGCCTCAATGTCAACCTGGAGAAGAGCTGCCTGATCCCTTCCCAGATGATCACCTTTCTTGGGGTGGTTCTGGATTCACCCTCCATGAGAGCTCGCCCATCCGCTCAAAGGGTGGCCGGCATACTCCAGCTGGTCAGTCGGTTCAGGCTGGGCAGGCAGTTCCCCTATGTTGCCTTCCTGCAACTACTCGGCAAACTGATGTCAGTCACTCGGGTGGTGCCCTTAGGCCTGCTGTTCCATGGGATGGGGTGCTGTGTGGCAACGCAGAACGGTTCAGGGCCGCTGGGGTCAAGAAGGGAACGTTCAGTGCTTTCAGCACCGCCCTCAGGCGGTCATCCGGGATTCATAGAACCGTAGTTACATACGTAACTTTTGTTTTCTACATCACCTTACAACCTGTTTTTTTTTTTTTGGTCATAGCATTTTATTTTCACTTGTCATTCTCAGTTTATATACATCTTTTATAATTGTCAACTGTTGTCATCATTCTTTTGCAAAAATCAGGTATCTCTTGTAAATGAGTCCCCGAGGCTCAACGGGACCAACCTGTCTAAAGGATGAACGAACAAATTTGTCATTAGAATATCAAGTTAAACTGCGCCTGGTCAATGTTTTTGCACGAAGCACCTGCATTAGGTTGTATCAGCTGATCATAAATGATAATTTAAATTTAAGGATTGCCTGTCTTAGATCTGCATGGTCAATGCTAGTAGACAGGCTTTACTTACAGGTTTTTAATAAACGGAGATACCTAAATTAAATAAAATGCTAATATCTAAAAACACATGGTTGATTCTGAAAGCCTCAAAACAAGTGACCTCACAGTTCAGCTGTTGTTGTTTTCGTGTAAAACGCCCATAGTTGAAGGGGGAAGTTGACAAAGGTACTGAACCAGTGGGCAGTGAGAGAAACTCAATATATTTTGACTTGTAGGTCACTGACGTCACTAAAACATTATAATCAATATTCTCGTACGCTGTAGTTGTTATAGCAACAAGCTAAAACAGGACGTCAAGCACGAACACATCAGACATCTCCAATGCCACACAGCTCCCTCGTGCCACGCAGAAACCACACAAACGTTTCCACATGACGTCTTCGTTCATACGGAGGGGGTACCCTCAGAAGCAGTGTTGTGTGTGGGAGCACCTGCTGGGTGGGGGAATATTTAATGTTCTGTGGAAAAACGAGATAAAGTCTTGATTTGGGGTAAAGGTACATTTATGTACATGAGATGTTTGCTGGAACAGCTGGAGTTATGTAAATTTAAAATCACCTCACAGACAAATGAGCATTCTGTCATGTCCAGTTATGAACCTAAATTCACATTCTTTGCTATGATGCAACAAACGATTCACGGCGAGGCATTCCAAGACATCCAACTCTGTCACGAGGCGAGTCTGGCTGCCCCCACGCAGGGCCGTGCCACATGTGCAGACATCTGGAACACAAGTCTCCGCTTTGCATAATCATTAAGACTGCACCCTTTGAGCTTGCCACAAAAACGGTTAAGTTCCTAAAAGGATCGTGAAAAGTGGTAAAAAGTGTTGGTTCACGTTCTGTTATATGAAAAGGACTTTGATTTCATGTTTGTCTAAAAATAGAAACAAAAACATTAGTGAGCATATATCGTCTGTGGTATAATATTCAAATGTTTTAAAATGAGTGGTTATGTCAAATCTAAAAGTGCAAATTTGACAATGCACAATGGACTTAATGACTCATTCATTCCTTGAAAACAGCTAACGGTGGTGGTGGTGGTGGGGGGGGGTTATCTAGAAAACACACACACAAAAACACTTCAGTCATTTCAAGTATGAAAGCAGGAAACAGAAGAATTCAGACTGAGAACAGCAGCGACCACAGCACGCTCTTGTTTTTTGTTTTCTTTTTTTATTAAACTTGTATTTTTCTGCAATCTGTGTATAGAAAAGTTCTACAGCTGTCAGCCTGAGACTAAAACAAACAGAGGAAAATGTTTCTGTTCAGTCATCATTGAGTGACCCCTGGTCAGGGCGACATACGTTTAATAACAAAAGCATGAAAAATGAAAACTACACAGCAGAAATCTTGTGCAGCTGGAGTGATTTGAAGTAGTCCATGATGAAACGAGCTCGTTAATAAAAAGACAACGGAGCAGAGAATAAATTACAGTAAGCTTGTAGTCGTCAGGCTGCAGCAGTCTCTCTCTGCTCCTTTGACAAACGACTACGTTTTTTCTTTACTTTCACCTTGGGAGTAGTGAATGATTGACGGTAGTTTGTTTTGGTGGGTTCGCAGCCTTACCCACAACGAGTGTGCACGTAACGTACACGTAACACATGCACTTCCCTGCTCAGATGTAAGATCACCCATAAGTTTGTACGTGGAAACAAAATAATGACGGGGAGAAAGACTTGTCTGCATCACACTATGCAAACCTTTTCACTTTGTAAACTAGCATCTCGTTTTGTTTTAAACATATTTAGACCACATATAATATTTTAGTTCAAGATTCTGAACATACTTTTCCACCATCATTAAGAATAATTTTATTTTTTCCCCTACAGTTCTCTTAAATACACAATTTTTTACATCTCAGATTAAATATGGCTTCATGTGCATGAACGTGTGTAGCGTGGGACCGAAGTGGTGGGCGTTTCCCTCTCTTGCACCGTGTTATTGCCGTCTACGACGTGGAGCTGGGCTCTGGAGACCGTTGCGCTAACGCGACCCCCTTGTGCGAGGCCCAGCACGGATTGGTGTGTGTTCAGTCACTGTCACTGGTTTCGCTGCTTGGGTCCCCCTGGACTTTGCTGCGATGCTGCATGGCACGATGGTAGGCCACAGACACGGATTTACGAATGTTGGACTTCCTGCCCTCCAGCATCTTCTCCTTGTCCAGTTCCTGGTCCACGCCGAGCGGCACCAGCTTGGAGCGGGGCAGCCACTGCCTGCATGCGCACACAAACGCACACCTTCAGCTATATAAAGCAGCACACCCACATCTGACGGCACATTAGGACGGAGTCAATAACCTGTTAACGTGTAATAAAATTCCTATGAAGACAAAAAGGCTCATTGTCTCTTAAGGACACCAGCTACTTCCTGGTTTGTTAGAGGGTGTGGCCTAAAAGCTGGAAAACATCTGATAAGCCAAGGTTTAAATGAAAAAAACAAACAGCTTTCATCTCATATGTTGCATGTTTTTTTCCGTCTTCAAACTTAACTACTGTAATTATATGCAAAGTACACGATGACCTAAAACACCATGTGTTTCCCGCTCTTCACTTCTCGAAAACCACGCTTGTCCTATTTCTTCTGTCACCTTGTGCTTCTCTGCAAACGCTGCAGTTCGCTTTAAAGCTTCGCTGCAAACTTCTCTGCGTGCCTACAACCAGTGAGATCAAAAAGCCCAGTTTGCTTACATATTTGACTTTTCTGTACGTCGCTTCATTGTTCTGAAGGAAAAGCAAGAATGAACAGAAATCTTAACCTCGTCAAACTAACGTGCACATACTGCATCGGGTCTCAGTGGTTTAAAAAGATGAATTATAAAAATACTCTAAAGCACTGACCAGGTCCTCTTGTTGTCAAAGAAAAGGACAAGGAACAGGTGCTCCCTGGCCTCCTGGGTCATTTGCTCTCCAAGCTTCAGCACGTCCAAAGGAGGTACAGGGATCGGGACGCCCCGATGGAACACCCCCTCTCTGGGCATCTTTGGGTCAATGATCTGCAGGCGAGCCGCGGAACGGGGAGGATTAGCCACGACAGCAACAAAACTTATGCTCACCTGATGGTGTTTTGAACACTGAGCATGTGTGTCTCACCAGGGCGGGATACGAAGGATAGCCTCTGCACTTGGCCCACACCAGGTCCAGAGCTTCCAGAGAGGAATAATCATCCGATGTCATCCAGCATCCTGACCTGTCCCGGCCACGCACCACTGACAACAGGGAAGACAAAGCAGCTGGTGAAATATCCTGCCCCCTGCCATAGTTACAGTGCTCATCATCACACTGCTTTCAACACTTATTGCAGCATGCTTCCATGCTGCTGTGATGTGAGTCATCAGCTTCACAGCAGTAAATTTAGGGTTTTATAAAAGACCCACCTGTTAAGAAAAGTTAAAAAGCTCAGCAGTTGTGTCATAAACAAAACAGCTGTCACACCTCCGTACATCAAAGACGGGAATAATAGCATTAAGACGTCTTGCTTTCTGTACACCAAACACCAAGCTAAATGAGCATAATGAGCAGGTGCATCCTGCCACTGACTCAAAACAGCTGAAATCTGCAGGTTTAGTTCAGATGTTTGTGAACCACCCAGACTCTTCCTGCTCAACACCGTTCCAACACCAAGGCTTTAGATGTCATTTCCTTCATATCCTGTCAGATGTTCATGAAAAAAGCACTTTGTTGAGTTTCATGACAACTGGGTGAAAGGCCCAGTTTGTGCCATTACATTTAGTTGAAGTTCCATCTTTCTTCCTTTAATACAGAGAGGAGGAGTACCAACTTTAATGAAAGAATGAGCTCACCGAGCACAGGAGTTTGTTTTTTCACAGGAAAAATCTAAGAACAGACTGTGGAGTAAACAAACTACCGTACTTTTCACTGTATAAGTCACGCCTTTTTGCATAAATTAGCATGCCTGTGACTTATGTTTTTTCTCCCCCATATTTATAACCCAATTTTTATTTGAGATCTGACTAGTTCATTCATTCTGACATGGAAAATATTGAACACTACCATTTTCAGTCACTAGAGGACGCACACTCGAGTAATATGGCAAGCAAAGTGTCTCATATAATAGGTAAAAGTGGCTATTAATGAGACACTTGGCTTGCCATACCAAGCCACCTTCGTCTCGCTCTGGAACTCCTGGAGCAAACGTCAAATCGGCTGCATTTCACTGCGCTACCCAGGTGAAATGCAGCTGATTTGACCATTAAAGTGAATTTATTAAGGAAAAGTTCAACTGAGACACACCTTTGCTATAATTTCAAGCTAACAAATAATTGTTTTAAGGTGATTATTTTGTTAAATTTTGAAGAAATGCAAAGCAAGTCCTCCCTCTGCGAGCTCCGGCAGCTGCAAATCAATTTTTGAAATACAGCTGATCTGACCATTAAAGTGCATTTATTAAGGAAAAGTTAAACTGAGACATAACTTTGCTATAATGTTGAGCAAACAAATAATTGTTTTAAGTGTTAATCTTGTTCAATTCTTGTTATAGTCCTCCCGTGCACACTCCCATGGCTGCCATTTGGAAGCCTATTGATTTTTGGCACAACACCGGCCCACATTTCCAGGTTGTCAGCGGTGACATGTAATAGATGCGACTTATACGGTGAAGCAACGCATTCATGTTTTTTTCCACTTTATTAGACATATTTGGACTGATGCGACTTATACGGTGGTGCGACGTGTACGGCGGAAAGTACGGTATTCAAAAAGTATAATACATATTCTTCCAGGCAGTTTGGAAAAACAAAAGAAGCGATTTTGCTTTTTCATCAAATAAAATTACAAACATGAAGACGGCACCAAAACCAAAACAGGAATGATTGTGTGATACGTCTCTGTCCGCACAAACAGAAATAGGACACGTACCGTGAAGGTTTCAGAGTGTGAAAATGTGCTTACAATGTGAAACACTCCGTGATCCTCCGACAGAGTAGGAATCATTTTCCGTGCCTGATGTTTCCTCACTGCTGTCTTCATGGAAGGTGGAGCGAGAGAACGAAGCCTTTCCTCGGCCCTGCTTCGAAGGCGTTGTGCTGAGAAAGAGAGGGGGAAAAACAACATAACTAAAAAAACCTCAGCACAGCAGATGATTGAACAGTCAGCCCAATCTTTTTTTGGGCCAGCTTTTACCATATTAGAAAATGTCCACATCATTCTTGCCTGATTGTACTAAACCAGTTAAATAGCAGGGACATCTGTGGACAAGTGCTGTTTCACTTAAAACAAAACCCCTGTATCAACACCGTTACACAACGAGGTGTCTTTCAGGTCAGAAGTACATTTTTTGGCACAACACCAGCAGATATTACAAGATGTCAAGTGGCATGCTAACTTCTAGAAGAATGTCAATCTACAACAGAAAAACGGAAATGAGATTTTTTTTAAAAATCTTTTAGAGACGTATACATAGGCTTGTCGCAATAAACAATAAATCAATTAATCACATGATAAATAAAAATTATCAACCTAATTTTTATTTATCGGCGTCATCATTTCTTCGTGTGTCTCTCTACTGAAGACACTGGATGACAAAAGGTTCAACTCTGGTGCTCTTCACTGACCCCTCCCTTTCTCTTTAAAATCCATTTTAACTATCCAAAATTGTGTTTTTGGATTGTTAAAAGCAGCTAAACTGAGAAGCTAAGCTACAAGCTAACAGGCCGACCTCAGGGGAAAAAACCTCCGTCTTGTTGAAGCTCCAAAATTCACGGTTGAAACCCGTGCCTTCATCAAAAAAGTTGTTTTTCCCTGTAAAAAGAAGCTGAAAACTTGTTTACTGATTGTTTATTAAAAGCTTTGTGTGAAAAATGCTATGCTAAAGAGCTCAAACCACACAGAGCATCCACCATGTCAGCCCATGTCACGTCAAGAGGCCTCCCTCACATTTTTCTTAAGAGACAAGCTGCTTGCTCCCTCCCTATCCATCCTTTGGTTCAAACAGTCTTATACTGCCATCCAGTGGTCAAAAACGGTACTACACACAAAGATTTACCAACATTTCTTCTTAAATTTGACAATTACTAATTATTGTCAAACTTCAAACAATATTATCGTTTATCGCAATAATTTCTGAGACAATTAATCGCCCAACAAAAATAGTTATCATGACAGGCCTAGGTATACACTTATTTGGTCAAATAAGAGAAGTAACTTTTGGAGCGAAAATATGAACAGATTTAAGTTTGGAACAATATTTAATGTGTCTTCAATAAACTGCAGCGCAGGCAGGAATGTGTACGGACCAGCATCAGGCTTATGGACTTAACTATTAAAGACAGCAATATTAATAAGTGGTCGATTTAGGATACAGGTACATATAACAGTAAAAGTATTGATACTGAACATTTTGGACAAGTACAGGGACCAGACAACAAATATGTTAGTCACACATCCTGAAGTCTGTAATTTTAATTTTTTGCTAACTGCTACATTAATATTTCCAGTTTTTGTTCTGATATTTATATGTAGCCTATGTCTGAAAGGAATTTCCTATGACACACTATTATCCATCAATCATAGTGGACATACTAAGGCGACTAGACTCCTTTACTTATCTGGGGGAGGAGGACTGGTTCTTATCGCAGCCCATGGTGGTTAGACCCAAGTGCAGGCAGACACGGGGAGCAGGAAGTAAATAAAAAGGATTTTATTTAATAAACAAAAACAAAGGGCTGACATGGCAGCAAAACTTACGGTACATGGATAATGGAGCGAACAGGAATGCAACAGACTGAGGGAAACACAAAGAGGACCTTCTGTAGTCTATAGGATTTACAGAGCAATGAGCCAACGTTGAGTGGTGAACAGGAGCGGTTTAAATAAGACATAGGGAGAGTGAGAAATGAATGCACCTGGGAAGATTACTTCAACACTTGCTCTTCTCAAGGACGGACGTCTTCTCCTCTTCCTCTCCGCTTTGCTTTTGCTCTGTTCCGTCTGTGAAACTGCTTTAGAGCCTACCTTCTACAAATCTTCCGAATTATAACTATGAACTTGGATTTAGTCAGTTGGTCCCTCAACACAATTGATAACATTTCTTTGAAGAGAAAAAAGGCTTTAGGTGAGCTGATTTGCCCTGTTGCATGCACACAGCTGGATATCTCATTGACTTTGAAGACTTGATGATGTGTCTATCTCTGCTGTCATCTGTGGATTTTAAGGACACATTTATAATTGGTTTATAATAACTGGTTCCGGGCAGCACGGTGGCGCAACTGGTAGAGCTGCTGCCTCTCAGCGAGCAGGTCCTTGGTTCAAACCCCGGTCCAGGGGCCTTTCTGAGTGGAGTTTGCATGTTCTCTCCGTGCATGCGTGGGTTTTCTCCGGGTACTCCGGTTTCCTCCCACAGTCCAAAAACATGCATGTTAGGCTGATTGGTAACTCTAAATTGTCCCTAGGTGTGAGTGACAGAGTGAATGGTTGTTTGTCTCGTTTGTCTCTATGTGGCCCTGTGATGGACTTGCGACCCGTCCAGGGTGTGCCCCGCCCCTCGCACAGTGATTGCTGGACATGGGCACCAGCGACCCCCGTGACCCAAAATGGAATAAATGGGTAAAGAAAATGGATGGATGGATGGATAACTGGTTCCTGCTTTTTGGATTCGGCTGGTTCCTAGTCTATCATCAAACAAGGAAGTCTTCGGCAGCAAATCTGGACCTGGTCAGGCTGCCTGCCTTATACCATACCATACCATACCAATTTATTTATATAGCACTTAAAACAGCAACAAGGCCAACCAAAGTGCTGTACAAAAGAACACAAACATGCACAGCAGACAGGAAAACATAAAATAGAAATACAGATACAAATAGCAGCAGAAGCTAACTAAAATGGCCAACAGAGTAGAGAACAGACCGGGCCAAAACAAATCACACCGTGTTAAAGGCAAGCGAATAGAAGTGGGTCTTCAAGCGAGACTTAAAGACTGAGAGTGTGGGAGCCTGCCGGACACTCAGTGGCAACTCATTCCACAGTCGTGGACCTGCAACAGAGAAAGCCCCGTCACCCCTGAGCTTACGACGGGTTTCTGGGACTGAGAGAAGCATCTGGTCTGCTGACCTCAGAGAGCGCAGTGGGACATATGGCTGCAGAAGATCAGTGAGATAGGATGGGGCGGAACTGTTCAGTGATTTAAAAACATACATGAGAATTTTGAAATGGATCCGAAGGTGAATGGGTAGCCAGTGCAGGGAGGCCAAAACTGGCGTGATGTGCTCTCTATAGCCTGTACCAGTTAAAAATCGGGCTGCAGCATTTTGGACCAGTTGTAGACGAGCAATGGAGGACTGACTGATTCCAAACAGAAGTGAATTGCAGTAATCAAGCCTAGATGTTATGAAGGCGTGGATCACTGTCTCAAGGTTCTTTTTGGAGAGTATAGGCTTCAGCTTAGACAGCCGTCTCAGCTGAAAAAACCAGGATTTTACCATCATGTTTACGTGACTGTTGAGTTTTAAGGACGGGTCCATTATCACCCCCAGATTAGTGACCTTTTGTTTCTCTAGCGGGGCTAGAGAGAAAAGGTCAATGTCATGGTTCATGAGTGAGCCACTGGGATGGAACAGCATGACTTCAGACTTCTTCTCATTGAAGCTTAAAAAGTTTAAAGCCATCCAGTCCCGGATGTCAGCCAGGCAGTCAAGAAGAGGCTGAATAGAGCGTGTGCCTCTGTGCCTCAGGGGGAAGTAAATTTGGCAATCATCGGCGTAGAAATGAAAGGGTATGTCATGTTTGCGGAAGATAGCACCTAGTGGCAGCAGGTATAAAGAAAAGAGAAGGGGACCGAGGATGGACCCCTGCGGTACCCCCCACTGGAGCGCTGTCGATGCCGAACTAGAATCTTTGATATTGACACAGAAGGTTCTGTCAAATAGGTAGGACCCAAACCATTTAAGGGCTGACCCTGTGATGCCCACCCACTGCTCCAGTCTAGAAATGAGGATCTTGTGGTCAATGGTGTCAAAAGCAGATGTAAGGTCCAATAGGACCAACAGCACAGAATCACCTGCGTCTGTGGAAATGAAAATGTCGTTAAAAACCTTCAGTAGAGCAGTTTCAGTGCTATGGCGAGATTTGAAGCCAGATTGGAATAACTCTAGGATAGCGTGATCCCCCAAAAACTGTTTCAACTGAGACTCCACAATTTTTTCCAGTAGTTTAGAGGGTGAATGGGAGTCTGGAGACAGGCCGGAAGTTGGACATGACTGAGGGGTCAAGGTTAGGTTTTTTCAGGAGGGGCTGGACAGCAGCATGTTTAAAAGTTTTTGGCACCACACCTGAGGATAAACTGCTATTCAGAATAGCGAGGATAAAAGGACCCAGGGTAGGAAAAACTTCCTTTAGTAGTCGAGGGGGGACCACATCAAAGGGAGAACCAGATGGCTTCATGCTGCACATTACCTGCTCCAGAGAGGACAGAGAGATGGGCTCAAAGTGGTCAAACACAGCCACACACTGAGATGGGATGGACAGATCATGAGCTGGTGGAGAAATGAGTGCCCGGGTGTTTGCCACTTTTTCTAAAAAGAAATGGAGGAAGTTTTCACACAGCTCAGTTGAGGCTTCCAGAGGTGAAGGCTCACTGAGGTGTAGAACTGAGTTCAGGGTGGAGAAAAGAACTCGGGGGTTGTGGGAGTTGGAGACAATTAAATCAGAGAAGAATTTACATTTGGCAGCTTTAACGGTTTTCTGATAGTGACGCCAACTCTCCCTTAACATTTGAAAAGACACCTGGAGCCTGTCCTTCCTCCACCTTCGTTCAGCTCTGCGACACTGCCGCCTAACGGCTCGCGTGACGTCATTCAGCCAAGGCTCTGATTTATATGTTGGCTTGTTTCGTGCTTCGAGTACCCAGACTTTTGGCAGAATAGATCAGATCTCCGGGATTATTCTCAGGCACATTCCATTGGTATGGTCATTTAATTTGGACGTTTCGAATCCAAGTGGACCGACACAGACTCAAGGTAAATATCATTAAAGTTCTGCCTGTCCCCAAAACAATTGTGTTTACCTGAATTTGGCTCCCTGACTGGCCTTGACAGGCCATCTTATCTCAACCTGCCTGGGGAGTTTTGTAAACCTGAAACTCTAACCCCTCCCTCCCCTCCTACTGAGGAATTTCCATGGACTTTTCAGAGGGGCCCAGCTGAATAAACGTACTGACATCATTTCAGCACTCTGGATTCGTCTCTGGTCATCCTCGCTCCCCCGCCCACAGAGACACGGGAAGTTAGGTCATTGTCCTAGACGCCCAAGGAGACATGGGAAGGTGGGTCATCATCCCCGACGCTCAAGGAAACGCAGGAAGGCAGACTCGGCTGCTTTGTTGGCTGGGCAGGATTCGGCTGCTTCATCGGCTAGGCAGGACTCGGCTGCTTTGTCGACTGCTTTGTCATCTGGGCAGGACTCGGCTGCTCCCTTGACACCCACTGAGAAACATTAAGGTGAGTTGTCATCGTCCTCGACACCCACTGAGAAACATGGAAGATGATCTGTAGGTTGAGCTGATCCCACAGACCACTTGGAAGGGAGACTGAGATGGTTGGGAATGGGGGCAGCGGGCAGCAGGAGAAGAGAGCTCAACATAAATCTCTCTATCCACGCCTCCTCAAACAGCTACCACATTTCTGGTAAATCGCTCAATACCTTCGACCGAGTATACTTGCTCACAAAGTCCTCGATGGCCACCATCCTTTCCCACAGATTACTGGAGGTGTCCGCAGTGTCAATATATTTATGCGTTATCTTACGGAGCTGATCATAATCCTCAGGATCGCACTCCGCAAGGAATGTACAACCTGTTGGGTCTGTATTAGGTTGGCTTATTCTATCGTGGTCCATGGTACTTAGACCCAAGTGCAGGCAGACACAGGGAGCAGGAAGTAAATAAAAAGGAATTTATGTAATAAACAAGACCAAAGAGCTGACGTGGCAGGAAAACTTACATGAATAATGGCTCAAACAGGAACATAACAGACTGAGGGAAACACGAAGAGGACCGCAACGTCTATAGGGTTTACAGAGCAATGAGCCAACGTTGAGTGGTGAACAGGAGAGGTTTAAATAAAACAGAGGGTGAAATGAATGCACCTGGGACGATTTCTAATTGTGTGGGTGTTGAGTGGCTGGAGAAACTGACTGAGGAGAGGATAAAGAATGGCAGGGAACACAGAGTCAAATGCAAGGAACAGAAGGGAAAATAAAGACAAAACAAACACAAAGAAAACAGACCAAAACACAGACTGCCAGTTCCAATGCACTTCAACTGGCTGCACACATTAATGTGCCTGATATCTTTTCCCTAACCCTAATGCTAAAAATGAAAGGCTCCTACATTTACAAAATGTCAGGTGTGGGGGAACTCAGCTGTCTTCAAGCTGATTGAAAGGAGAAAAAAAATCTGTGAGAGGTTTCAGTTCACTCAAAACAAGCTGTTGGACTTGAACCAAGCACAGTTTCATATCTCATCTGTGCTATGTGCACGTGGGAGTCCTTGGCTTTTTGATACAATTTAAAAAGTAAAAAAATAATAATAATAAGCCTGTAACCGGCTTACTTCTGTAACCATTTACAGAAGTTTTAAAGAGTAGAAAAGCTACTCGGAATATGTGCATAGTTAATAAATAAACGATAAATCAACAAATTGCTTTTTCACATGTGCATACATGTGTACATGGTTGCATGTTCAGGTGTACAGAGCCCCATCTGTTCTGCTGGTGCATGAGGGGCTCTGAAGAAAATTAGGTTAGCACATTAGAGCCTCTTTTCTGCTGTTGTAGTGGACCCTTCCAGCCCTTCACAGGTGCAACAAGTTGTTTGCATGTAAATAAAGGATAAAGTGAGCAATTTTGTCAAAATATCAGCTTTAATAATTAAAATAGTTTTGAGTCTGGCATCTAAAGTTGTCTTGATGATGTTATCATAAGTGTGGCCTTTGTAGTCTTTGAAACATCAGATAGGTGGGTGTGTAATAAGATTATAGTTTTTAACATTTTGAGAAGAGGTTTTTTCTAACAGACTGAATCATCTATTTCTGAAATCATATCTCTTTGGTTTGTAAAAAAATCATGCTTCAGGAAAAATATTAGTATGTTTAATTGGCTTTAAAACCAAATGCTATTCCTACTGTTAGGTACCACATCATCATTGTAAGCCTTAGCATCAAATTCTTACACTTTTCCTGCAATTGTTTTACAAAATCTAATAAACTAATGTGTATAAAAAATAAACAGTTATCTCCACTCACTAATACAGAAACAAACAAAATCACTTCATAAATTTGCCATCAGCCACAATAATTTCTAGATTGTTGTGGTTCCAGTGGAAAACCCTAATTTGTCAACCTCTGGATTCAGCTGTTAAGTCTGTGGGTTTGTTTCTGTAGATAACTCACTTTCTGTGGTGGCAGAAAGCATTTGGACTAGAGGTTATATGAAGAAGGATCTACATGTGCAGCAGTCACCTGGTTCTGTCTGAAGCTGCGCTGCTGCTGCTGCTGGTCGTGGACTCTGAGTCTGAGCTTGAACGAGGCAGACGGGGCTCATTTCTGTACACACGGAAGCTTTCTGTTACAGGCTGGTTTCCTGTATCAAAACCATTGCTCGGTAAACCTGCAAGTAACAGACGGAAGAAAACGTGAGTCATTGTGTAACTCAAATGGCACATTATTAGTATTATTAGCCCATTGTTGATCGCTGTCGTTTGAACCTGGCAGCAGGTCGTCGTTGTCGCTGTCACTGTCAGAGCTGGAGCTTGAGTGGGGGCTGCGGGGCCTCTTCCTCTGCCTGCTTTGTGACAGCAGGGGCAGCTGCGGGGGACCGATGGGGCTTTGGCTCACCCCTGCTCCAGCATAGCCAGCATCTCGGTTCTTTGGCGGGCGTCCTGGCCTTTTGGGAGGACCGGCCATTTTCGGGTTCTTCTTAGAGAAAAGGACAGACGTCCGACGGCCAACCTCCGGAGCTAATGCAGATGAAGACGCGTCAGTTACAAGTTTAGATCCAACTTTCCTTACATACCAGAATCACTCTTGTAAAACGCTTTCCGAGATGCACCTTTCCCACCGATCTCCTGGCTGCTGCTCTCCCCGCCCTCGTCGTGGTGTCCTGCAGATGAAGAGTGATGCGGGAGAGAAGAGCCTCGTTCTCCTGCAGACTCCCGGCCCCCGATGATGGAGCTTCCCTCTCGCTGGTGGGCAAGCTTCCTCCTGATCACGCTGATCTCCTTTCTCAGGGCTTTGGCCCTGCGGGACTGACCGATGCTGTGCTTCCCAGAGTTCACCTCGTCCAGACGTGCCTGCATGTAATTCAGCTGCTCGTCCAGGGACAGCCGCCTCCTGTTCTCTGGCAGGAGCAGGTCTGTGTCAACACGTAAAACATATAAAGTTTATTAAATATTCATACAGGCTGTGGAAATGACAAGAAACAACCAAAGCAAGTGAAGTTAATTGTTTTTATAAATGTTCACTTATATGTGATCAATCAAAAAGATTTCTTCATATAAAAAAAACATACTGTTCAAAAAATTGACATTTTAGATGCCGTTTTTAACATTTAAGTCCAAACATTTATCATAAAAGTACAGTAGATGCTTGTATAGTAATGTAATACACAGCATTTCTGAAGAGTTTTAGACTGAGCTAATCTTCTGGAATGACATTGTAGTCATTTTGGTACAAATAAAGTTATTTGTCCCACTCAGTATGTGCTGAATATGACTCACAGCTGCTACCACATCAAATTTTAGCTCAGTATTTGTAAAACTGACCAAGGTACAGCCATGTTTGTGTTGGGTAATGTTGATTAGCTGTGGTGTTCAATTTGAATTGGTCTGACTCCAAAAGTTAATGAGTTGTCGATGTACATCCAATGATTATTCCCTGATTGTTTCATTAATACACTGCCTGGCCCCCCAAAAAAGTTGCCACCTGGATTTAACTAAGCAAATAGGTATGAGCCTCCTATTGGATAATTACTGTATGGGCGATTATGTTTCAGCTGGCAACAAGTTATTGAACCCCAACTGGTGCAATGAGTTGCTTCTCATTTCTTAAACAACCATGTTGAAAGACAGATCGTGTGGTCGTGGAAAAGATGTCGGTCTGTTTGAGAAGAGTCAAATCATTGGCATCAAGCAGATAAAACATCTAAGGAGATTTCAGAAACTACTAAAGTTGGGTTAAGAACTGTCCAACGCATCATTAAAAACTGGAAGGATAGTGGGGATCCATCGTCTTCGAGGAAGCAATGTGGCCGGAAAAAAAATCCTGAATGATCGTGATCGGAAATCAAATGGAAGAAAAACAACAGTAGCGCTCAATGGCTGTGTTTAATAGTGAAAGTAAGAGCATTTCCACACGCACAATGTGAAGGGAACTCAAGGGACTGGGACTGAACAGCTGTGTAGTCTTAAGAAAACCACTAATCAGTGAGGCTAACTGGAAAAAAAGGCTTCAGTTTGCTAGGGAGCATAAAGATTGGACTCTGGAGCAATGGAAGAAGGTCATGTGGTCTGATGACACTGTTCCAGAGTGATGGCACATCAGGGAAAGAAGAGAGGCAGGTGAAGTGATGCACCCATCATGCTTAGTGCCTACTGTACAAGCCTGTGGGGGCAGTGCTATGATCTGGGGTTACTGCAGTTGGTCAGGTCTAGATTCAGCAACAGTGTGTGCTCAAAGAATGAGGTCAGCTGACCTGAATATACTGAATGACCAGGTTATTCCATCAATGGATTTTTTTCTTCCCTGATGGCACGGGCATATTCCAAGATGACAAGTCCAGGCAGGATTCATCGGGCTCAAATTGTGAAAGAGTGGTTTTAGGAGCATGAGACATAATTTTCACAAAAGGATTGGCCACCACAGAGTCTAGACCTTAACCCCATTGAGAATCTTTGGGATGTGTTAGAGAAGGCTTTGCACAGTGGTCAGAATCAGCCATCATCAATGTAAGAAAAATTAATGCAACACTGGATGGAAATAGATCTTGTGACATTGCAGAAGCTTATTGAAACAATGCCACAGTGACTGCATGCTGTAATCAAAGCTAAAGGCGGTCCAACGAAATATTAGTGTGTGACCTTTTGTTTGGTGGTGACTTTTTTTGGGGGTCAGGCAGTGTATTAATCCATAGATGAGATATTTTGCTAACAGACAAATAATGTAGTTAAATAAAAATCTTAAACAAAGATCTTGCACATTCTGTTACTACTCCCAATTTAATTTGGAGTCAGTTGCCACAATTAACACATTAAATTTTAGGTTAGTATCTGATTTAACATCAGTTGGCTGCGGCAGCCATCTTTAATTAGGTTGAATCCAAAAGTTAATCGGTTGTGGAAGTACATCCAGTGATGTACTGCAAGTTTTAATAGGTGGTTCATTAAAGACAACAACTTGTTCCCAGTTTGCATAACGTGTTTCCTGTTTTAATCCCAGGGTTCAAGTCATCTTTAGAGAAACATAATCTTAATTTTGTAAAACTGCTTTTCCATTCAGAGTCAAACAGAAAAGCTAACTTATGACGGACACGTTGAAAACAGTATAAGCTAAAACAATAACTGGTTTGAATTATATCGCCCAGTTCTTGAACTTTGCACTGTCAACAACATGCTCTCTCCATTGTGTTGTCGTTGACAGATCCACAAAGACCTGCTGTGAGCTGCAGACTGGTTTTTCAACATAAAGAGTGTCTGTGGACTGTGGAAACCCAATCTGGTATCTGTACCACAAACTTGTTAAGCTGCATGGGTGTGCACGCCTCTGCGGGTATTCAGTAACACAGAAAAAACTCTGAAGGTTAAAGAATTTAACTGAAAGCTTTGTGGATGGTGAACTGTAATTGTTTTCTCACACTTATCTAAACTTGGGCAAAAAAAGACAATTTCATACTTTGCCCCACTTCTTAAGAATGTGTGGAACCCAATCAAAGTATATGTATTTTTTACAATAAAGACAAAGTAAAAAAACAGCTAAAGTGGATCCATGAAAACAAGTTGAGAACTGCATGACATGGATGAGAGATGCCATCTGCTGCCATCATGTGACTTGAATATGAAATTAAAGCCCAGCATTTCTTGAAATCACCCACCACCTTTTAAGTCCACATTTTCTCTGTTACTCTGTTTTCTCTGCTTCTCCTCTGTTACCCACCCACACCCCCATTGAAACAGTGTCAACTCGCCCACGGCTCAAATTAAATAAACAAAAAAATCAGCTCTAAAAATATAAACCATAAAAATCTAAACAGTTACTTTACCAGAGCAAAATCATAAAATCATTAAATGTGGATTATTGAACATCAGATCTCTTTCCTCTAAATCCCTGTTAGTTAATGAACTGATAACTGATCATCATATTGATTTATTCTGTCTGACAGAAACTGGGCTACAACAGGAGGATTTTGTTGGTATAAATGAATCCATCCATCCATCCATCCATTTTCTTTACCCGTTTGTTCCATTTTGGGTCACGGGGGTCGCTGGTGACCATGTCCAGCAATCACTGTGCAAGGGGCGGGGTACACCCTGGACGGGTCATAAGTCCATCACAGGGCCACATAGAGACAAACGAGACAAACAACCATTCACTCTCTCACTCACACCTAGGGACAATTTAGAGTTACCAATCAGCCTAACATGCATGTTTTGGTCTGTGGGAGGAAACTGGAGTACCCGGAGAAAACCCACGCATGCACGGAGAGAACATCCAAACTCCACCCAGAAAGGCCCCTGGACCGGGGTTTGAACCAGGGACCTGCTCGCTGAGAGGCAGCAGCTCTACCAGTTGCGCCACCGTGCTGCCCTAAATGACTCCACTCCTGTTAATTATTTAAATGTTCATGTTCCTAGAACAACTGGCCGAGGTGGAGGAGTACCTTCTATTTTTCAGTCAGGATTATTGATTAATGCCAAACCAATTATTAGTTATGATGCTTTTGAATCACTGTCCCCAAGTCTTTCTCATCCAAAATGGAAATCAGAAAAGCCACTTTTACTAGTTGTTGTACATCGTCCACCAGGCGCTTACTCTCAGTTTTTGTCTGAATTCTCAGAATTATAAACTGACTTATTATTAAATACTGATAAAATCATCATAATGGGTGATTTCAATATTCATGTGGATGTTGAGGGCGATAGTTTAAGCATAGCCTTTAATAATTTAATAGACTCGTTTGGTTTTACCCAAAACGTCCGCACATCTACTCATTCTTATCATCACACTCTTGATTTAGTTCTGACCTATGGTGTAGAGATTAAGGACTTGGTAATAGTTCCTCAAAATCCTATTCTGTCTGACCATTTTTTAATAACCTCTGAGTTTACATTAAATGACAACACAGTCACTGAGAGTAAATTTCATCTCAGCAGGTGCTTATCAGAAAATGCTGTAACCAAATTTAAACAATCTCTTCCATCAATGTTTTCCTCTGTCTTGCAGAGTAATGCATCAGAGAACAGTGACTTAGATCATCTAGTTGATCATCTTACAACTTCACTGCAAACTTCACTTGATAAAATTGCTCCACTGAAAAAGAAAGTAATCAATCAGAGGAAACTGGCTCCTTGGTTCAATTCTGAGATACGTACTTTAAAGCAGGCATCTAGAAACCAGGAGAGAAAATGGCGCTCTTCTATCCATCCATCCATCCATCCATTATCTTTACCCGCTTATTCCATTTTGGGTCACGGGGGTCGCTGGTGCCCATGTCCAGCAATCACTGTGCGAGGGGCCGGGTACACCCTGGACGGGCCACACGGGGGGGGGGACTCTGGACTATGCTACGACTTTCCCTTAAAAATTCAATGTTTTCACCACCTATATGTAAATGTATAACGTCTGTTTATGTTGCTTTGCTGTGGTAGGTTTTTTTGATGCCTTAAATTGTGCCCTGTCCAGGACATGGCGTGAGAGATCTTTTTTTTTATACCGTCTCTCCTCATGTTTCTTTCTTTTTCTTATCTAAGCAAAATATTATTCTGAATAAGAATAAGAGGGCCGCGCTAATTATTTTAGCCGCAGCTTCGTGCACTCCGGCCATCTTCGGACGACTGTACGTACATATTCGCGTTGTATCTCGGTGTAATGCCAATAAAGTTTATTCTGATTCTGATTCTAAAAATGATGCAGAAAAACTGGTCCATGCATTTGTCACGTCTAGACTGGACTATTGCAATGGTTTATTATCTGGATGTCCAAATACTTCTTTAAAACGTCTTCAGTTGATCCTAAATGCTGCTGCCAGAGTCTTAACTGGAGTTGGTAGACGAGATCATATTTCTCCAGTTTTAGTTTCTCTCCATTGGCTCCCTGTCAAATCCAGAATATATTTCAAAATCTTACTTCTAACCTACAAAGCTCTCAACAACCTAGCTCCATCTTATATTACAGATCTTATTGTTTCATATTTTCTTAACAGAGCGCTTCGCCCTCAGGCTGCAGGTTTACTTGTGGTTCCTAGAATTTACAAAAACAGAATGGGAGGCAGATCTTTCAGTTATCAGGCTCCTCTCTTGTTGAACCAACTGCCAATCTCTGTTCATGAGGCTGACACATTATCCAGTTTCAAAACTAGGCTTAAGACTTTCCTTTTTGCTAAATCCTATAGTTAGGGTCGGCTTGGGTTTCCTGAGCTGTCCCTTAGTTATGCTGCTATAGGCTTAGACTGCAGGAGGACAGACTGACCACAATTTTCACTCTACTACTGTCTTTACTTACTCTGCTCAACCTGTTTTGTATTTGTAATTATTTTTTCTATCCTTAACATGTTTTTTTTGTCTTTCAGGTACACCTGGACCTATATCTGGACCTACCATTCTGTGTTCGTCTGTCTCTCCTTCCTGTCCTCTTAAACCAGCCAGTCAAAGCAGATGGCCGCTTGTCCTGAGCCTGGTTCTGCTGGAGGTTTCTTCCTTTTAAAAGGGAGTTTTTCTTTCCACTGTTGCCACTGTGCTTGCTCAGGATGGGAGACTGCAACGAAGCCGAGATTCAACTTGTCTGCTGGATTCCTTAGATAGAGAACTTTACTAATTGACTTTTATGTATGTGAATGTTTCTGTAAAGTGCCCTGAGATTTGGCGCTATATAAATAAACTGAATTAAATTGAAATTTTAGGCTAAGATCATCTTGGGATGAGAAACAACTGACCAACTTTTGTTTTACATTTAACAGGATGTGATCACAGAACATGTTACAGTTCATGAGAATTGCAGAAGCTCGGTGGTCAGTGCTGCAATCTTATGCATGCTTTTATAATCCACCATATCCTTACTGAACATCTTACTTCCAAAATTAAATGTTTTAGTGATGTGTGTTTGAGACAAGCAATAAATTAAATTAGGGAAAGTGAACGAAAGTGCTATGTATTATCATCGTCTGTGCCCACAATGATGAAATTTGTTGTCTGCGTTTAACCCATCACACATGAGATACAACCAAGTGTACCAGCAGGCAGCCATTTAGGTGGTGGGGAGCAGGTAGGCAATAGATCTTGCTTAAGACCACCACGACATGTGGGCATGGTGGGGAATTGAACTTGCAAGTTTCCTGTCCTAAGTCGGCTGCACTACCACAGCGCCACAGCCGCCCTAAATGAATAAATGCCATCTTTTTTCAACTTAATGTATAGTTTCAACTTCAAAAAGTCTTTAACCTTTAATAATTTTTAAATATTTAGCTTTTCATCCATTTCCATACAAAATAAAGTATCAGCTTGGAAAGTTCTCTCCAAAAAACGAAAAAAGAGGAGCGCTTTACCGTCTTCATTCGATGACGATGGTCTGTCTCGTTCTCTGTCCCGGTCTTGTTCCCGCTCTCGCTCTCTCTCTCGCTCTCTCTCTCGCTCTCTCTCTCTCTCCTGCTCACGCTGGCTGTCCGGGCTCGACTCGCGATGGAGGTGCATACCAGTTTCATAGTCAAAGCCGATCCGTTCGGCCTGGCGCCGAGCCACTCTGAGGACCACCCCGCCCATCTCTCGGAGCCGCAGGGCAGCACGGTAAAACACTGTGTCCTTGGCGTTGTACTTGAGGCAGTTGTTGACGATGAGGCCGAAGTCGGCCTCGAAGGCCTCAAAAGTGAGGTAGCGGTGAGACTCCAGTAGGTTCCACATGGTCTGAAAGTCCATAGGAGTGTTGATGTGCTCCAGGTAGTCTGGCACCTGAGAGAGACATGGAGACACTCAGACTGAGCTGTACATTCTGATCAACGTGCATACAGTAAAAATATTCATAGCAATATTTTAATTATACTAATCCTAAATTATTAAGCACACCAAGATCAAAAATACCCAAAGTATCAATTTAAGTAAAAAACAACATAAGTGCTTTGCAACTGTGTACATTTACCTCTTCTAAAGGTACAGGCTCAGTGAAAAAGTTGTTTGAGTCTCTTTCCTGTAGCTGCACCAGCGTATTCCTCAGAAGCACCAGTAAAGGAGTCAGCTGCATCTCTAGCACCATCTGCTGAACTTTAATCTAAACACATACACATTTTGACCAAAGTGCACGTCAGTTGGACAAAAAGAAAACAATCAATTTGTTTGGTAATATATTTGTCTGTGTAAACATAATTAACTCGGTCTGTTGGAGAGATTGGAAATACATACGAAAATCTATGGTCTAAAGCAGTGGTCCCCAAACCCCGGGCTGCGGACCGGTACCGGTCTGTGGGTCAACTGGCACCAGGCGGCACAGAAATACAGTAGTCCCTCATTTATCGCAGGTGTTTGGGACCACGCCCACCCGCAATGAGTGAGAAACAGCGAAGTAGGGATACAGTAGTCCAAGTTCAAGTTCAGTAAACTTTGTCATGACATGTGCCAGGCTGTAATCACACTCATCACCTGTTACTCCCAATCTGCCTCCTTAAATAAATGATTTAAATACTGTAACATTTTAAATAAACAATCCATACAGCATGGATTGTTTATTTAAAATGTTACAGTATTTAAATTTAAATTGCAGAGAAAAGAAGTGCAGCAGGACATCAAAGGGATGTCACACAGCTTCAGCTCTGCAGCACAGAGCAGAAATGTACTTTTTGATCAATTACACTTCAACAACTGAACATGAATTTCTAAAATAATTAAAAATAACTTTTAACACTTTTATATTTTGTGATTATGACGATTTTTACGATGTGACATACTTTGAATTTTAAGTTGGAAGACAAAAGTCGATCGGTGCATCTGGACAGCAAAGGGTTAACCCTTCACAAAGCTGCAGCAGGAGAAATGTGTGTGTGGCACAGAAGGAGATCAGCTGATCAGCTGCAGGAGGGAGCTTTTCCTTGTGGGCTTCATACATGGTGCAAAATCATTTAAAATAATTTATTTTAAATAAACAACCCATGGCTCATCCATCAATCAGCCCATTGTGTCATGTCCAATCTTATTTTGAAAAACCGCGATATAGCGACTCCGCGATAAACGAACCACAAAGTAGCGAGGGACTAATGTAGTAATACATAACTTACATTATTTCCATTTTATTTAGTATCTGATTCTGAACAATGTTTTATTTTGGAAAATTACAGAATTCTCTCTGCCACATCTGTCTATGACTCACTCTTGACGCAAGTCAAGATGCTTGCCTCGGTCACATGACTACCTTCTTAAAGGGGCTGCGGGAGCATCCATTCGCCAACAAACCAGGGGAATCCAGCGTGTCTATGCAAGAAGATGATCAACTGCTGGAGATTGCAAATTATGGTGGCGTTAGATGTATGTTTGAGACAATAACTCTGCTGGTGTTCTGGATTAAAGTCATGGCAGAATACCCTGAGGTTGCCACAACAGAACTGAAAAAACTTGCCATTTCCGACATTCTATCTGTGTGAAGCAGGGTTTTCTGCAGTGACAGCAACCAAAACAAAATTACGGAGCAGACTAGACGTAAGCAACACACTTCGGGTGTCATTGTCTCCCATTACCCCTAGATGGGACCGTCACTTTGCACAGAAACAAGCTCAGGGCTCCCACTGATTTAACCTTATGGTGAGTAGTATTTTTCATGAACTTTATATTTGTTTTTGTGGTGTATGTTATGTTAACGACATGTTTAACCATTAGTGTTACAACCAGCGAGTGTGGGGCTGGGAAGTCGTTATTCATGTTATGATTAGGGATGCACTATATTATCTGTATGGTAACGGTATTGGCCGCTATTAGCGTTAAAGTTACATATCGGACATCAGTCATTCCATCAAAATAACTCATCGAAATAAAAGATGCTGTTTTTGTATGGCAACCCAGTGACAAGGATGCCTGCAGCGCCAGCACAATGTTATGACGTCATGTGCGCCTACCTGATCTGATCACAGCGGAGAGGAAGAAGTCAAAATGTCGGCGGTGTGGAAGTTTTTGTTGTTGTTGAGGATATCAGATTCTGAAGATTTTTGGATTATGTTGAGCCTCACTACATCATCCCCAGTCAAGAGATATTTTTCCAATATAGCCCTACCCGAGTTACAAGCCATCATTTCCAACGTCGTTGAGAAGCTAATAGCCGATAGCACTTAGGTGAGTTTTACCACAGACATTTGGACGTCGTGTTAGCCCAGTTAGCATTAGTCTTACAGCACAATGGATAGACAAAAACTTTGAATTTTAAAAGGCTGTCCTTCATGCACAAGAGTGCAGAGGATCCCACACTGCAGCTAGGAACCTGGAACAAGCCTCCACAAGTGAGACAGCATCACAGGTGACTAATGCTAATACAAACCGGATTCCAAAAAAGTTGGGACACTAAACAAATTGTGAATAAAAACTGAATGCTATGATGTGGAGGTGCCAACATCTAATATTTTATTCAGAATAGAACACAAATCACAGATCAAAAGTTTAAACTGAGAGAATGTATCATTTTAAGGGAAAAATCTGTTGTTTCCAAATTTCATGGCGTCAACAAATCCCAAAAAAGTTGGGACAAGTCCATTTTTACCACTGTGTGGCATCCCCCCTTCTTCTTACAACACTCAACAGACGTCTGTGGACAGAGGAGACCAGTTTCTCAAGTTTAGAAATAGGAATGCTCTCCCATTCATGTCTAATACAGGCCTCTAACTGTTCAATCGTCTTGGGCCTTCTTTGTCGCACCTTCCTCTTTATGATGCGCCAAATGTTCTCTATAGGTGAAAGATCTGGACTGCAGGCTGGCCATTTCAGTACCCGGATCCTTCTCCTACGTAGCCATGATGTTGTGATTGCTGCAGAATGTGGTCTGGCATTATCGTGTTGAAAAATGCAGGGTCTTCCCTGAAAGAGATGACGTCTCGATGGGAGCATATGTTGTTCTAGAACCTGAACATAGTTCTCTGCATTAATGGTGCCTTTCCAGACATGCAAGCTGCCCATGCCACAAGCGCTCATGCAACCCCATACCATCAGTGATGCAGGCTTCTGAACGGAGCGTTGATAACAACTTGGGCTATCCTTGTCCTCACTGGTCCGGATGACATGGCGTCCCAGTGTTCCATAAAGAACTTCAAATCGTGACTCATCTAACCACAGAACAGTCTTCCATTTTGCCACACTCCATTTTAAATGACCCCTGGCCCAGTGCAAACGTCTGAGCTTGTGGAGCTTGCTTAGAAATGGCTTCGCACTGTAGAGTTTCAGCTGGCAACGGCGGATGGCACGGTGGATTGTGTTCACTGACAATGCTTTCTGGAAGTATTCCTGAGCCCATTCTGTTATTTTCTTGACAGTGGCATTCCTGTTTGAGGTGCAGTGACGTTTAAGGGCCCGGAGATCACGAGCATCCAGTAGAGTTTTACGGCCTTGACCCTTACGCACAGCGACTGTCCCAGATTCTCTGAATCTTTTGATGATGTTATGCACGGTTGATGATGATAACTTAAAAGTCTTTGCTATTTTACGCTGGGTAACACCATTCTGGTATTGCTGCACCATCTTTCTGCGCAACAATGGTGGAATTGGTGATCCTCTTACCATCTTGGCTTCTGAGAGACACTGACACTCTGAGAAACTCTTTTTATACCCAATCATGTTGTCAATTGACCTAATTAGTGTTAATTGGTTTTCCAGCTGTTCATTGTATGCTCAATTTCCTTTTTCCAGCCACTTATTGCTACTTGTCCCAACTTTTCTGGGATTTGTTGACACTGTGAAATTTTGAATCAACATATTTTTCCTTTAAAATGTTACAATTACTCAGATTAAACTTTTGATCTGTCATCTATGTTATATTACGAATAAAATATTGACATTTGCCATCTCCACATCATTGCATTCAGTTTTTATTCACAATTTGTTTAGTGTCCCAAATTTTTTGGAATCCGGTTTGTAAATAACATTTAACACTTTTCATTTAATATAAGTTAAAGTGCTATACATATCATATGGCTGTTACTGGATATATATCACCAGCTTTTACAACTGTTGCACAATTTTTGTAGCAAATAAGCGTAAATAAGAGGGCTATGTTCTGACATAAGTATATATGCCACCTGCATCATGAAGGACCCCACCCACCCAGCACACACACTTTTTGCCCCACTCCCCTCAGGAAGGAGGTTAAGGAGCATTAAGTGTAGAACCACTAGACTGAGGAACAGCTTCTACCCTGAAGCTGTTAGACTCATGAATCTCTAACTAGAATAATCACTGTGAAAAACCAGATCATGTTGCTGCTGATCTGTTTCAATGTTGATGTGTCCATGCGTGCACATCTGCTCACAGACTCATGTTCATGTTTGTGCTGATGTTCAATGTTTTATGTTATGAGTGCTTAGTGTATATTTAGTTGATGTTTTTCTTAGTTCATATCTTAGATGTTATTACTGTTTTTCTTATACATTTTATTGTTGGATGTAACTGGGACCCTGTGTACATAATTTCGCTCCACACATGTACCACATGAGGTGCGAATGACAATAAAGAAACTCTAACTCTAATAAAAACATTGGTATCAGTATCGGTTATCAGCCAAATGTGTTTTAGCATATCGGATATCAGCCAAAAATCCAATATTGTGCGTCCCTAGTTACGATGTTGGCGCAATGTTACGAGGACGCTGCTAATAAAGTTGCATGTACAATGGATTCACATTCAATATTATATTTCTAAAATACCAGTTTTAACGCCGGTTGTATCATTTTATTTTGTTGTATTTATCCGCCACACCTTAAAGACTGGTCTGTGAAAGTATTGTCTGACATGAAACCGGGCCGTGGCGCACAAAACGTTGGGGACCGCTGATCTAAAGCTTAGTGAGCACAATAAAGCAAATGTTTTAAAATCAATTTAGAGGCAAGAGTAGATTTCACTTTTTGTCTCACCGTCTCCCTTTTGACTTTCTCTCTCTTGCGGATCAGCTCCACCAGCAGCCTCGCTCTTTCCAGGTCGTGCCTCAGTCGCTGCCACGCTTTTAGCTGCTCCTTTAACGCACTTTGTTTCTCCTCACTGTCCCTCTGAAACGTGTATAAAAAAATCCATAAATATACTGGATGGGGTTCAAATCATTGAAAAAAAAGAGATATTACGATGAAATTATAGCAAACTTACAGGAGAATTTACAGAAGGAAGCTGTGATGAAGGCTGTGGAGGAAGTGGTTCAACGTGCCGTTGTGACGGCAGGTGGGTTTGAAGCCGGCGCAGGAGTGGAACACCGTTGCGACTTTGCCTCTTCAGCGTCCAGTAGCTGTGAAGTCTTTGCATGAACTGACTCTTCCTCGGTACTGTCAAGTTACTTGTAATTTTGCTGAGCCTGGAGAGAAGAAGCAAACACTACATTTAAATAATTTTGTCACACAAACTTTTCTGCATGGATAGGTAAACGCTCACATGCAATTTGGAAATGCAAGGACAACGCAGTGCAGAAGAGGAGGCGTTACCTGTGAGGCGGTATGCAGGGCACAGACACCACAGGCGCAGCAGCTCTCCTTTCTGCTAAGATCTTCCTCGCTCTTTTCATCTTCAGTCTGGACTTGGCCTTAGCCCTCTTCGCTCGCTCCGAGCTCCATCCCTTCGAGTCTTCATCCTGGCCAAGGCTGGGCTCGTCATCCTCCTCCAGGTCCCCATCACTGTTAGATGACCCCATGCTGGCCCCACCTACTCCTCCTAAAGGCCGGGCTGATCCCGGTGGCGTATGGATGTCACAGTATGCCGTCTTACGGACACTGAAGGATGTGCCGTTGGCACCAGTCTCCCTGACAGGCTCCATCTTCATATAGAGACCTGCCTGCTGGGCACAGGTGACATGAAACGCTGTGTAACAGTTCGCTTTGTGGCACTGGATGCAGGCGCCCGAGCCACGCTGTTTGCAGATGTAGCAGGTAAGCTTCCAGCGTGCAGGAGGGATGTGCTCGATACTGTCAATCGGCTCCAGAAAGACTGTGTTAGCAAAGCAGACCTGAGAAATGGCAACAAATTTCATTTTGAGATCAAAGTTTAGTTCCAAATACAAGAACAGAATGAGGATCAAGAAACTTGTATCTAGCATACAAATCCATTGCAGCAACAGATCTAAACAAGCGGTACACCGATTTCCCAGCCGCTGAAGGATTTGAATAGTGAAAGCTTGTAGTTTTTGATGCTAGTGGCTTTCTAGACTGAAATTTAACAGGAAAGTAAACCTTAGTGTTTTTAGTGCAACATTGGGTAAGAATTACACTGTGTATAAGAACAGAGGTACGGTAGTTTTTTTTCTTGTTCAAGGTGGCACAGAGTGGCAGATCCTGGCAAAAGGAAGTGATTGTATCCACAACCAGGTGTAAAGGCGGAGCCAGTGGGTGGCTAATGGTGGCCTTGGAGCAAGGAGCTGCCATCTAGGAAGCCCGGGAGATGAGTATATATATACATACAGACCCTTTCCAAAAAATTTGAATATCATGGAAAAGTTGTTTTAACTTCCATAATTCCATTCAAAAAGTTAATCTTTAATAGATGATAGACTCAGGGCCCACAATTTAAACAATTTCAAGTATTTGTTTATTTTTACATAATTTGGACTTCCAGTTCATGAAACCCACAAAAACAGGATTTCAAAAAATTAGAATACTGTGGAGAAATCAGCCCAAATTTTGCAGGACATGAATGTTTTAAACTGAGTGTGACATGCTAATCATCTGCTAAACTCAAAGCACCTGCACAGGTTTCCCCAGGAGTCATTAAATTGCTTCAGTTTGGTTTAATTGTCTCTGTTCGGTTCAATATGGGGAAGACTCCAGACATAACAACTGGCCAGAAGGCCATCATTGACACCCTCCATAGGATGGGTAAGCCACAAAAGTTCATAGATAAGGAGGCTGGCTGTTCATAGAGTGCTGTGTCCAAACACATCAATAGAAAGTCTAGTGGAAGGGCAAAATGTGGCAGGAGAAGATGCACCAGCAAGATATGACCGTGGGCTTCAGCGGATTATCAAGCAGAGAAGATTCCAGAATCTGGCAGAGATCCAGAAACAGTGGAATGAGGCGGGAGTCACAGCTTCAAAAACGACCACATTCAGACACATCTTGGAGATGGGCTACAAATGTTGGGTTCCTCGAGTCAAGCCACTTCTGAACCTGAGCCAACGTATCCATTTCCAATGAAAGTAAAGTGTGCCTTTCATTCAGAAATCAAGGTCCAAGGGTTTGGAGGAAGAAGGATGAGGAACAGAACCCATACTGCTTGAGGTCCAGTGTGAAATA